TTTCAGTGCAGGTTTATTTCAATTTTATATTTTATTCCAGGCAAGTGCTTATTACATGGATAGTATTCATGTCTCAATACCTAGAGTCTTGGAGCATGAACAGCCACTAGAATACAGTTCAATAGTAAAAATACAATATGTACAAAAGTAGGGTTTTTGTAGTTTTTTTCCCACACAGCAGATGTATCCAAACACATAAAAATCTCTACAGTCTGGGGTCACTACAAGTTATATTTCAGGAAACGGAGACACAGTGACCGAGTCCTCACTGTAAACAAGGGCCACCTCTTGGGGGATGGGGGTGGGACCCTGGGATGGGGGAGAAGCAGCTGTTCCTGGAGAGAGCAGAGGTTCTGGTGACCCCCACCCCCGTTTCCCTCCAGGCATTCCCTGCCCTTCTTTGGCCCCCCCCAAGGAACCAACCTCCCCCTCTCCCCGAGGTAAAGATTCCCAGCCAGTGAGCCACTCTGAACATCAAAAAGTAAAACACGCATGAGAGGTAAGATGTGTGTGTGCGCACGTCCCCCAGGCTGGAAGGGCTAGGGAGGGGAGGGGAAGGGAGGGGAGGAGGAGAAGAGAAGAAAAGGAGATATGAGGGCTGGAAAAAATGGTGGCAGACACTTCATTTCAAATTTTCTCCCCTGCCCTAGAAACCAAAGCAGAGCTCAGTGGGCTTGGGGGAAACGCCCAACCCTCTCACATCCACCTCACACCATTTGGTTAGATCTAGAGCCAATCAAGGTATCAAGTACAAAGATGCTCACATTTCAATTTAGCTAAATCATATTTCCTTTCAAACTATGAGATATTAATATTTCCAAAGGAAAGGAAGTGGAAGGAAATTACAAGGTAATACCAAAGCTGGTGAAAATTATTTTGCTCCCACAGAGTCTCTAGAACCATTTGGACAACCATCTCAGACTGGTCATATGTGTAGATGTACAGAGATAAGGAAAATGAAACAACAAAACAAGACCGTAAAAATGAGAGGACACAAAGTCCAGTGAGCATTGCACATGACCCTCTCTAAAGTCTCTAACAGTTGTGTTTTATGCTTTACTACATGGCAATATTAAGTCAAAATACATAACTGGAATCTTATCTCACTCTTTCCCTGAGTTCTGGCTCATCAGTGAATGGCAAATTTACTTTTCCCTGAGATTAAAAATACCATAGACATAGCTTGTCTTTAAAAAAACAACAACACAAAGAACAAAAAACCTAAAACCATTTCCAAGGCAGTTTTATAGAAAAGCTAACAAGATTGCACAAGGATGGCTTTTGTGGGGTGAGAATCAGAGATGAGAATTTTGAATTTAACATTTTTATATCTGAGATCAGAAATCAAACTATTTTAGTCAATAGGCAAGAGGTTCCCCATTAGTCTGAGATTCTCCCTTGATTTCTTTGGAGCAATTAATATCTGTAGAAACTGGACAATTGTGCAAACCTATCTATATTTTGGGTAATTTTATGTTAGATGGGCAAGACACAGATTTATTTTTCCAACTAATGTTATATCTATGCACCCAAATACACCCTACACCCCTAGACAGCAGTAGGGAATAAAGAGTTTGTAGGCAAATGGGTATGGGTTTGAGGGTGCAAAGTGTTGCCAGGAGGTAGAGAGGTGCTGTGCAGGAAGAGTTGTGTGTGTGGAGTGGGGCATTCTCCTAAGTATAGCTCCTAAGGGTAAAATACAACCTCGGTTAGTAGTAGGAACTCTGGTTGCAGTGAAAGCTGGGAGTTTGGGGGTCATAAAAGAGGGAAGTCAAGAAGAAAGAAGAGCAAAGAAGGGTAAGAAGTAAAAGGAAGAGAGGGAATAAAGAAAATTCACGAGAGGTTACTACAATCTGAATTTTGTACAAGACGACATGGTTTGATGAGAAAGAACAAATAGCAGTAATTTTAAGGAAAATAATTTAAGGACTAATGATTTATTTATAGATTTCATTTAGTTTTTCTGTGTACATAATCAATCTGCAATAATTACAGTTTCAATTATGTTCATTTTTGGCCTCATTTCACTAGATGGTTTACATGCATTGAACACACACACACATACACACACATATATATATTCGGGACGATGGGACAGTTAAGGTTGCTATTATAAGTGTCTTAATACATTTTGGGGGTTTTCTGATTATATATTTAGACCATTATTTTATAAATCAAGATTAATGAAAAATAATTCTTATGACTATCAGAACTTCATCAGAATACATACCTGGGGAAAGATATCTAACATTAATACTCTTATTGTTTTGTATTTTTACTCTTGCTTAAAAAGTTGATAAATATAGAAATAATCTCAAAATCCCAAGGGTTATTTACTCTCACCAGGGCCTTCTGAGACATCTAGTGTGCAGATCCAATCAAGTGTAGACACTCACGTCCAGGGAACCCTCAAAGGGTACAGAAATGCAATGCAGAGGTGGAATCTGGTTGTTGCAGAACTCTTTGATGCTCAGGAGTTTCAGCCATGCCCATGAGTCTGGTCTCTGCCAACACTGAGGTGAGTTTGGATGATTCCCAAAAAATTGTATTTTCTCCAAATGTAAATAAAGCTTGTGGTACAAGAAATACAAGTGTTTGAGATGTGGTTGATTGGAAGTGCAGTAATTCTTCTTTACTCCAACCAGAATAGATGACCATTGGTGGGACTAAGAAGAAAAGCAGTGTTCCCTTAATTGTGAAATAAATTTTAAATTACCTCATAATTTAACTAAGATAAAGAAGTCTAGACAATAGTGGACTCCAACAAGGTGGGGAAAAAGAGGGTTATTCCTGAATTCATGAATATCTATATTCAGAACAGCTTTTAGTAAAAATGGTTTTTGTGGACAAGTAATGGAAGATTACACTTGAATCCTAGAAAGTATTGAGAGGAATTTCTGGAAGGGGCTTCCTTATAGAAATCCTTCCATATAACTCTGTCTATATGAGCAAGTCCAGGAAAACGACTGCAACTATCTCATAGACAGGTCCTCTCTCACAAATAGGTTTTCTCTGTGTGAGAGCTCCCTTGGCTAAAGACTAACTTTCTGCCACTTTACACATTTGCCCTATATCTTCCCTAAGATATTATTTAAAAATACATTTTCTCCTATCCCATCATGATTTGTTTAACCTAGTTATGCTCAGTTTATGCAGTTATATATCAAAATTAGAATCAGTAAGTTAGGACAACAGGTATAAGTTGATGAAACCCATGGCTTCAAAGTCACAATTTGAATCATGGTTCTACCAGTTTTTAAAATTTGTAGACTTAGGCATTTTATTGACTCACCCTGGAATTACATTTCCTCACATATAAAATGATGATAATAACATATGTCCATGGAATTTTTGTAAATTTGAATACAGGATTCAACCCCCATTGAAATATTAGCTCCATGAGTGTAGGGGATTCTGTCTGTTTGGTACATTAATGTATTTCTACAAACTAGAATGATATCTAGCATGTGAAAGACAATCAGTAAAGATCTGTTAAATAAATATGTTTTAGCATAAAATACGGCAATTATTATCTATTATTATAATAGATAACATGCATTAAGTACCTACTAGATGCCAGGTACCACTTGGAGGATTAACTCTCACTAATCCCGCCCCTCCCTTCAAAAGTCACAAAAATTGTAAAAAGTAAGGTTAAGTCTTGTTCAAGTCCATACAGCTAGTTAGTATAGGAAACTCATAGAGTCTGAATGTCCATGTCTCTATAAATAAGCGTGCAATAAAGCTCGGCTCTCATATTTTCAAAGAGCAGACACTCATCTATTTCATTTTCCTTCTTTTGAATATGTCTAATAGCAGAATTCATATGCATCTTTGAGAAATGACTGGCAGGGAAGGTGTAAATTTGAATACAGGATTTCAAAAGAGAAATCATTTACTGAGAGGGGAAAAAGACTGGCCCTGAGTTTGTCTGTCTGTTTGCTCATGATTTGAGTATAGAACAATTGTTTAGTTATATGGCGTTGACGCTTGGAAGAGCCTGAGAGCCTTCCATGATGCATGATCAGTTTTAGTTTAGAAGCCAGATGTGCAGAGACAAAAATTCTTCCTCTTCTGATAAGCTAATATCCTGGTCTTTTCTTTTTAGTCTTGTGGCTCTAGTGCCCTCTGGCTACCTTAGAAAGAGGTAGACATTAGAGGTGGTATTTCATGCACACCAGTTCTCATTGCAGAAGTTCCAGTGTCCACATGCTTAGTTACCTAGACCAGCAGGAGCCTTTCAGGGATTTAACTGGAAAAGATGTCCTTGGATTTCATTCCAAGGTTGAGACATTTATAATTTTTTCTGTCTAAGATGTGAGAATATTTTTTAGTCTCTTAGAGTCCCTAGTAACTAGCATTCGCTCTCTAAAGCTCACTTTTCAATAACCCCATATAACTACAATTTTCAAAATCTCATACCACCTTTCCCACCGTAAAGTACACGATGGCACTTGAGTTACAGCAGGGTTGAGTGGCTTCATTGAATTTCCTTGATATATTAATACAGGTAAGTTTGATTGCTTGGGATGCTTTATAATGAGGTAAAGTAATGACGACAGTAGTATTACTGCTAATGTTTACTGAGTATTCACTATGTACTATACACAGTTTTAACATTTCAAGTAAATTATCTTATTGAATAATCTGGAAACTTTCTGAGCTTGGCACGCTTATTCTCCCCATTTTATTTTATTTTATTTTATTTTTTTTATTGTTCAAAATATTACAGATGTATATTATCCCCATTTTAGATTGAGAAAACTGAGGCATAAAACGGCTAAACAACCTGTCAATATCACATACTAGATAAGAACCAGAGATGAAATATACAATTTGACGACGTGACTCCAAGGGAACTTAATCACTTCTCATTCAAAATATTATTGGGGGTTTTTGTATGTTTGTTTGTTTTGCATGTAGTTTCCAAGCCCTCTACTCACCTTTGAATCACTTCTTCATCCAGGAAACTATCATTTTTAAGGAAAGTAAAATGCCCACCTCCTGTCAGCCATTATGCCTGGAGCCAACAGCTCCAGCCTCACCCCCAAATTCTTTATTTTGAATGGGATTCCTGGTCTGGAAGCTGTACACATCTGGATCTCCCTGCCATTCTGCTTCATGTACATCATCGCTATCCTGGGGAACTCTGGGCTCATCTACCTCATCAACCATGAGGAGGCCCTGCACCGGCCCATGTACTACTTCCTGGCCTTGCTCTCCTTCACAGATGTCACCTTGAGTACCACCACTGTCCCCAATATGCTGTGTATATTCTGGTTCAACCTCAAGGAAATTGACTTTAATGCCTGCCTGGCCCAGATGTTTTTTGTCCACATGCTGACAGGGATGGAGTCTGGGGTGCTTATGCTCATGGCCCTGGACCGCTATGTGGCCATCTGCTACCCTTTGCATTATTCCACCATCCTCACCAACCCTGTCATTGCCAAGGCCAGTCTTGCCACCATTCTGAGGGGCATGATGCTCATCATCCCATTCACGTTCCTCACCAAGCGCCTGCCCTATTGCCGGGGCAACTTCATTCCCCATACCTACTGTGACCACATGTCTGTGGCCAAGGTGTCCTGCGGCAATTTCAAGATCAATTCTATTTATGGCCTAATGGTTGCTCTCTTTATTGGTGTGTTTGACATCTGCTGTATTTCCCTGTCTTACACGATGATATTGCGAGCTGTTGTGAGCCTGTCATCTGCAGATGCTCGTCATAAAGCCTTCAGTACCTGTACATCTCATATCTGTGCCATTGTGATCACCTATGTCCCAGCTTTTTTCACTTTTTTCACCCACCGTTTTGGAGGACACAGTATCCCTCACCACATACACATCATTGTGGCCAACCTTTACCTGCTCCTGCCCCCTACAATGAACCCAATTGTTTATGGAGTCAAAACCAAACAGATTCGAGAAGGTGTGGTCAAATTTTTACTTGGAGACAAGGTTGTCCTTACCCAAGACAAATAAATCATAAAATAGACATATTGCTGGGGAGTTGGGGATAAAAAAGGAATGAGGTGACATTTGTAAAAGATGTGAGTAAAATGGAATTAAAAATGAGTCTTCTAATGTATAGATTTTCTGAAATATTTGCAAGTATATGTTATGAAATGTTTATTTTGTGTAAAAATCTGCCAAAGAAGAGAATGCAGAAAAAAGAGGTAACATACCTATCCCTCATAGATTTTGGGTTTTACATAGGAATTTATAGACTCATATGTATAGTGAAAACAAACAGGTAACAGAATGAGGGTTACAGGCCTGGTGTCAATGTATGCATAGTGCATAAGAAGAGGAAGCTGTGGTGATGCAGAGCAAGCATGTCCTCTCTGTAAAAGACAAACTTTATTCAATTTAAGCATTCAAGCACACTGTTGCCATGGAATATCGTGGGCCCAGTGTTGAAAAATTTTTTAGTATCTGTTAAGACAAGCTATATTTAGATGCTTTGTGAAATCTCCCAATTTTAATTATTGGCTAAATGGTTTGGGGTGTGTTTTTTTAATAATCTACATTTCATTCAAGACATGTCTAAGAGTTCTGCTTTTTCCATTTCATCAGGTTGGGAACTTCATGATTTTACATCTAAAAATATAATTGTAATGTTACCAGTTAAGCAGCCAAAAGCGTTGATTAAATTATTAGTATGTGTATTCATTCATTTCATTTTCTGAGGTATTATTTAGGTCATATTATTGGTCATACCCTTTGAGAAGCATGGATGGACCTGGAGATTATTATGCTAAGTGAAATAAGCCAGTCAGAGAAAGACAAATATCACATCATCTCACTTATATGTGGAATCTAATGAACAAAATAAACTTATGAACAAAATAGGTCCAGAGACATGGAAGCATGAAACAGACTGACAGATCTCAGAGGCAAGGAGAGTGGGGGGTGGGGAGAGATTAATCAAAGAATTTATATGCTTATATGCATAGTCCAGGGACACAGACAATAGTGTGGTGAAGGCCTGAGGTGGGGCAGGAGCTGGTGGAGGGGGAGAAAGGGGGAAAAAGGAGGACATCTGTAATACTTTCAACAATAATAAATTTTTTTAAAAACACTAAAAAATAAATAAATAAGAATATTTTCCATAAAGACAATCAATATACAGAACAAAGAGAAAGCCAATCCAAATGCAAATTGCTTCCAACCCTGGAACTCTTGCCAAGAAAAAAAAGAAGAGAAGTTGTGAATCTGGGTGTTATCCAAGAAATATCTTAGCTTTCCTCTTTTGGGTGAGGGGGGTCATGGGGAAAGACAGAGAAAAAAAATCAACAACAAAGATTAATAATCAAACAAAACAATCATTAAGAGTTAGGAATCAGCCCTGGCTGGGTGGCTCAGTTAGTTGGAGCATTGTCTTGTACACCAAGAAGGTTGTGGATTTGATTGCCAGGTCAGGGCACCTAGGTTGTGGGCATGTGGGAGGCAACCAATGGATGGATCTCTCTCTCTCTCTCTTTCTCTCCTCCCTTCTCTCCCTTCCCCTCTCTCTAAAAATCAATGAACATATCTTCAGGTGAGGATTTTTTTTTAATTCTTGGGGATAGGCAAAAAAAGAAGAGAAACTCCCACTTGGCAATCAATGGATTAACAAAGAAATCAAGAAGGAAATAAAAAAATATCTTAATACAAATAAAAATGAAAACACAATAATCCAAAATCTTTGGGACACAACAAAAACGTTTCTAAGAGGAAAATTTATAGCAATGCAAGCCTACCTCAAGAAACAAGAAAAATCTCAAACAATCTAAACTTACACTTAAAAAAACTACAAAAAGAACAAACAAAGCCCAAAATGAGTAGAAGGAAGGAAATAATAAAGATTAGAGTGAAAGTAAATGAAATAAAGATTAAAAAGCAATAGAAAGCATTAACAAAACAAAGAGCTGGTTCTTTGAAAAGATGAACAAAATAGATAAATCTTTAGATAGTCTTATTTTTTTAAAAAAAGGCACAAATAATTAAAATCAGAAATGACAGAGGAGAATTGACAATCAGCACCACAGAAATACAAAGAATTATAAGATAATACTATGATCAAGTATACACAAATAATTGGACAACCTAGAAGAAATGGGCAAATTCCTAGAAATATATAATCTTTCCAGATTAAATCAGGAAGAAACAGAAAATCTGAACAGGCCAATTAGTAGAAATGAAATTGAATCAGTAATTTAAAACTGCCAACAAAAAAAGTTCAGGACCAGACATCCTCACTAGTGAATTCTACCAAATATTCAAAAAAGAATTAATACCTATGCTTCTCAAGCTATTCCAAAAAAATTAAAGAGGAGAAAAAACTCCCAAACTCATTCTACAAGGCCAGCATTACCTTGCTACTAAAACCTAATAAAGTCACTACAAAAAAAAAAAAAATTTAGCAAACCAGCCCTGGCCGGTGGCTCAGTTAGTTGGAGTGACATCCCATACACCAAAAGGTGGCAGGTTCAATTTCCAGTCAGGGCACATATTCAGGTTGCGAGTTCGATCCCCAGTCAGGGTGCATGCAGAAGGCAACCGGTCAGTGTTTCTCTCTCACATTGATGTTTTTCTCCCCTTTTTCTCTCTTTCTTCCTCTCCCTAAAATCACTAATAATAATAATAATAATAAATAGTAGAAAACCAAATTCAGCAATTCATTAAAAAGATCATACACCATGATCCAGGAAGATATATTCCAGGGATGCAAGGATGGTTCAATATCCACAAGTCAATCAACATGAAACACCGCATAAACAAAATTAAGGATAAAAATAACATGATTATCTCAGTAGTTTCAGAAAAAGCATTTAAAAAACTCAACATCCTTTTATGATTAAAACTCTCAACAAAGTGGATATACAAGGAACATACCTTAACATAATAAAAGGCTATACAGAGGTACCTCGGTTTTTGAACATCTCCGTTAATGAACATTTTGGTTTACCAATACTATAACTTTCATTAAAATCTAAGCTTTTTTTTTTCTCTCTCCTTCTTAATTTGTGTTTCTACTTTTTATTTTTCTCATCAGTGGATGAAGATATTTGCTTTGTTCTTTGAAACAAGGACCTTGTCTTACAAAGCCACTGATTTTACAAAATTCAGTGCAACAAAGTTAATCTTAAATATGAAACCACCATTTTTAGAGAGACTTCCTCAGGCTTAAGGCAGTGACTGAACTTTTCCGGCTCCCCATTTATTTCCCCTGTTCTTCATAGCAGATGATTTGGCCTCACTTCATTTCTAAATGATCCACTTTATTTCCAACTTTATTACTAAATGGGGGACCATGGATATTGTTGTTGTTGTTATCATTGTTATTAAAAGGAAGAGAACAACTGTAAAAATATAGTTTATATCAGCATTTAATATTATTTCAATTTCATAAGAAAATTTTAGCAAATTATATCACTTTCTACCCACATCAGCCTCATGAGAAAAATAGGACAGATTCTGGTTCCTAAATAAGTGGATTTTTTGTGTATGTGGGTCACAGGTGCATGTCTCCATCCTCAAAATGAAGCTGCTCTGTTATAGTCACCAAGGTCTCTCACCTGGTATTCTGAGGGTTCTGTCCAAATGTATTTATTCAATGGTCTTCTGTTTAGTCTCAAGCATTTAGCCTTTTATTCAGTTTCTTGAGCTATGTTGCCCTCATAATCCGTAGCCCTAGGTCTCTTCCCAATTAACTTTTTCTCATTCTCTACTACCTTTTGTATATTTTACTAATATAATTGGTCTAAATTCACACTTTTAAAGAACAGGGGACCAAAAATGAGTAAGTTCTTCATTATAAACCATAAAGAATAGCCCATTGAAGGAGATGAAATAGTAATAATGAGAGACATGACCTTTTCCTAGAAGCAAGGGAAGTAGAGACATTGCATAATACACAATGCATTTGAGAATTTAGAAAATCAAAGTAGAAGATTTTAAAAATAAAAGATGGCCCCGCCGGGCGTGGCTCAGCGGTTGAGCGTCGACCTAGGATCCAGGAGATCGGGGTTCGATTCCGGGTCAGGGCACATGCCCAGGTTGTGGGCTCAATCAATGACTCTCTCATCATTGATGTTTCTATCTCTCTCTCTCCCTCTCCTTTCCTCTCTCTGAAATTAATAAAGATATATTTTTAAAAAAGAAAAAAGAATGAAAGATGCATGACCCTGTGAGAGAAAAGTAAGAAAGATAAAACCTTTACACTTAGGAATGTACCTGTTGAAAGGATCCCCAAAACAGATGTGAGAAAAAGAAAAGAAGAACCAGCATCATCCTGCTGTTAATCCTCCAGGTCTGCACCTTAGACACCCATCTTCAGAGAGACCTTCACTGAACTCAGTGTATCAGCTCCTAATATTCTCCAGGACCCTCTTATTCTACTCCGTAGCTCTCTGCGTTTGTACTTGACCAATGCCTGAGTTTCCATTTCATTGTAAACTTCTTGCAGAGTTACAAAGTTGTATTGTTCATCATTATTTCTCTAGCACGACAGCTACTACAAAACATTTGTTAATGAACGACTGAATAAGTAGGTAATTATTAATTTTAACTCCTGGTCAAAAGCCGTCATCTTAGGAAAACGGTGGGCACACAATACAATATATACAGATGTTGATCATGGATTTGTACACTTAAAGCCTTAGACTTGTAGTGAATTCAGTAGCCTTCCATGTAGGAGAGGAGTAAACTAAGACAGGAAGTAGGAAGAGAATTGCTGCAAAGCAGCCTTATTCTGTATGTCGCCCACCTAGGACATCCTTATTTTCTCTCTCTAGATTTTTACCCCTACTTAGAATGAACAGCAAAAGCTCAAGAACCGCATTAAGACCAGAAATACACTCCATCAGGTATTCTGTAGTGCTGAGTAAAGGGGTACCTCTCTCTGAGATCAGACTTATTCGTCTGCACGACACTGAGCAGGTTAGTTCAGAAGCAGCTGCCATATACCAGATGTATTTAAACTCAAATAAGATCCATCCTCCTAACCCATACCAAATAGATGAAAGGTGAGTA